TATTAATTTATTCAAAAGAAATGTGTTAGTGGCTACTACGCACCAGACCCTGTTTTCGGCACTTGGGGACAAATATGGCTGCCCACAAGAGACTTTACATTATGTTAGGGGAGACAACTAATAAAAAACTAAATATTAAATAAGGCCAGCCATGGTGGTGCACGTGTGTAATCTCGACATTTTGGGAGGCCATGGCTGGTGAATCACTTGAGTCCAGGAGTTTGAGTCCAGCCCGGGCAGCAAAACAAGACACCATCCCTACTTAAAAAAAAAAAAAACAAAAAACAAAAAAAAACAGAAGCCTAACAACAGCAGTGATTCCCTTTCTTGTGCCTGTGTTCCCTTGCTCAGTAAGTCTGAGTGTACCTTCCACTTTGGCTCTGACCTTGACCATGTGGCTTGCTTTGGCCAATGAAATATGATTCAGTAGAGGCTTGAAGAGTCCTTGTGGTTTGGGCTCTTGGACTCCTGCTGTCATGTGATGAATTAGGCTCCCCTTCTTGATGAGGAGAGAAACATAGTCCAGTCATCCCATCACCACAGCCAACACCAAGATACGTGTCAGACATGTGAGTGAGGCAATCTGGAACCAGTCAGCTCCAGTTAAACTGCCAACTGACCGCAGATGCATGAGTGAGCTTAGCTAAGATCCGCCAGAAGAACCACCTAGCAAAATTGTGAACTAAATAGATGATTGTTTAAGCAACTGTGTTTGGGGTTGGTTTGTTATACAGCACAAGATAATTAATACAAGCTGCAGCATGAACTGGTTTGTTCTGGGGTACAACTATCATGCAGGGATCTCTCTTTACCATCATCCTGGGGCTTTCCTCTGCTTTTTTTCTATATTTGATCTCATATTTCTCATAATCCATATCTTCCTTTTGCTTGGTTTTCTCCAGTGACTTCCTAAGAAAAAGTACAGTAAATTAATTGTATGAAACGTTGCATGCCTGAAAATGTCTTTTTTTTTCTTTCTCTTTTGGTTCTTGTGTTTAAGTGCCAGTTTGGTTGGGAGTAGAATTCTAGATTGTTAATTATTTTCTCTTAACATTTTGAAAACCTTCTCCATTGTTCTGTAGCTTCCAATACTGCTGTTCACAAGTTAAAAGTCTATGCCAAAAGATGATGAGACTGCCACTTAATATCTGAAATAAAAGGACAAAGCTGAATTTACTCCTTGCTATAGTGAGAGCTATAATGGTCAGAAACAGTCTGTCTGAACAAAGTGGGCTGCTGAGTATGACTAGAATTCTTAGGAAGCATGAATTCAGGGACTGGTGGATTTTCGGAGAATTCAGTAGGATGCCATCACTTGCAGAATCACAGTTCCTTGGGGGAAAACTTTGTTGATTGTTCACTACTCAGATGTGATTTTGCAGGAGTGAGTCCATCTACAACTGGCTGTTTTTCAGAAACAAAGACCTGATTCTGATGAGTTGGCTTGTAAAAGTGTGTTCGTTGAGGGGAATTGTGCAGATTTGATTACATGGATTTAAAACCAGTTTTGATAGCCACTTCTTATTATGACTACAGAACAATTGCCTTTCCCTAAGTTTGGGGGAACATTTTTATTCTCATAAATTGCTGATCCTGTGTATATGACCTGTATATTTTTCTCCTTTCTACAGTCTTGCAGGATCTTCTCTTTGCCTTCAATGCTTAAAATTTCACAATGTGTGCATTAGCCTAAGATTGTATTCACTTAATACATTTTTCTGTCTGAAAGTTCAGGTTATTAACTTCTCTCCATTTTTTATTTTGGATGCTATATTAGTTAATTTAATACATAAATTATTATAAATTATGTATTATTAGTTTTAATTATTATTACTAATTATAATTTATGTGATAAAGACATACTCGAGACTGGGCAATTTAAAAAGAAGGAGGTTTAATTGGACTTACAGTTCCACATGACCAGGGAGGCATCGTGATCATGGCAAAAGGCAAGGAGCAAGTCACATCTTACATGGATGGCAGCAGGCAAAAAAAAGAGCCTGTGCAGAGAAACTCTTGTTTTTTTTTCAAACCATCAGATCTCGTGAGACCCATTGACTATCACCAGAACAGCACAGGAAAGACCCATCCCCATGCAATAATCTACTGGGTCCTTCTCACAACACGTGGGAATTATGGGAGCTACAAGATGAGATTTGGGTGGGGACATAGAACCAAATCATATCAGATGCTAATACCCTGGACCAATTACCTAATTGTCTCACACTTTTATCTCCTATTTTCTATTTCCTTTTCTTTTTGCTGGAAAAGTTCTTGACTTTATATTCTGACCTTTCTACTGAAAATATTGATTTCTAGCTGGGTGCATTGGCTCACATTTATAATCCCAGCACTTTGAGGGGCTGCGGCTGTAGGATCACTCAAGCCCAGGAGTTTGACACCAGCTAAGGCAACATAGTGAGACTCATTTCTACAAAACATTAAAAAAAATTAGGTGGCATAGAGGCATGGACTTGTACTCCCAGCTACTCAGGGAGCTGAGGTGGGAGGATTGCTTAAACCCAGGAGGTCCAGGCTGCAGTGAGCTATGATCATGCCATTGCACTCCAGCCTGGGCAATTGAGAAAGATCCTGTCTCAAAAAAAGAAAGAAAAGAAGATATATCTTCTATGTTTTTAATTTTCAAGACCTTCTGTATGTGTTTTGTTCCATTTATTTATTTGCTTGTTTATTTTTACATAGAATTCTTTTCTTGTTTTATGATTATAGTAGCTTCTCTTTGTGAGATGCTTGACTAGCTTCCAAGTTAAAGGCTTTCCTCACATATCTTATAATCTTTGTATCTGATAATACTTAAGAATGAGATACTGAAACACTGACTAGAAGCCCTAAGAAAATGCCAGCTGGGCTGGTCTAATGTGAATTTCACTGTAGGAGCATCAGGGTGGGGTGGGTCTGCTGAGGGAATGTCCTATGTCAGTATCTTTATGAGGTCAAGTCTTTTATCATGGTCCGAGCATATTTCCCAGAGAAGACTCCATGTCCTGCCTGGGGGGTGAAGGTCTAACTTTCAGTGTTCTTGGCCCAGAGAAGGAAAAGACAGATATGATATGGCATATTCCAGAAGCTAATATGTATACAGTTACTTAATCCTCTATTTTTAGTACAGTTCTCTCACACTCAGCTGCATTGATGTTCTTCCAGTGCAGAACCATCTATTTTACCTGATTCTGAAAATAAACTATCTATCTTTTGCCAGTTAGGGAAGGTGCAGTCTCTGGGATGCTGCACAGATCTGGGGAGAAGTCTAGGGGTTCAGTCCAATTCCTCCTAAAGGAATTCCTAACATTCCTTATTTAGTCCATATCCCTTTCACCCTCACTTCTTCAAGTAGAGCAGGAGCGGCATGAGAAACAGACCTCTCAAACACCAAACTGGGAAGGAAGGGGTGATTTATTCGGGTGGGAGCAAGGTGGCATAATTACCTAACAGCCAAGCTCCTCTAACAAAGGAAACCTCTGCCTTCATATAGGCTTACAACTCTAGATATTATATGTGAAAGGGTCTTGGTCTTACAACTCTAGAATTTACATGTGAAAGGGTCTTGGGTCATGGAGTAGGATGGGGTACAGTGACTTAAGTGGGGGTTTGATCGTGTTTAAGTGAAAACAATGCCTTCTGGAAAGATTCCTCCATACCTATGCCTGAGATCTATAGGAAGGCAATTAAAGGTGGTGCCTGGTCTGCAAGCCTTTACTTCTCCTACTGAAATGCAACGTGGAAGTCAAGGGGGAGGTGGTCTTAGATGCTTAAGGGTGATTAAGGGTCTCTCCCTTACAGGGACCTACTGCCATTAGTTTCCAAGTCTTCAGATCTGCTGTAAATCAGATTAGTTTTTAGTTTTCTCTACTGCCTGATGGGATTTAAATTTCTCAAATCTGTTCATTATGTTACTATGTATTCATTTGTTTTCCAGCTTCCAAAATTGCCTCTTCAGCTCTCTCCATCTATTGGGTTTAAGCCTTAAAATATCTATTTATTGGTAATTTTACTGGAATTTCCAGAAGTCAAGAAAATAGAAGTGTATGTTAAACTTCTACCTTTACACAAAGCTTGCTTTTCATTTTCTATTTATAGGAAGTGTGTTAATGGCTTCATAATTGAATCCAGCTTATAATTTATTTGTGATAGATCTAAAACTGGTTAATGAAAGATGGCTTCAATTACAGTAGGCTTAAAGCAGTGCCTTTCTCCTTAAAAATACAGAAAAGAAAAAGCAACTCAGCACTAACCCAGTGAAGGGGGATACAAATTATAAGTCAAGATTTTGTATGATGGCTGGACATGGTGAATCATGCCTGTAATCCTAGCACTTTGGGAGGTGGGTGGATCATCTGAGGTCAGGAGTTCAAGACCAGCCTGACCAACATGGTGAAACCCCTTCTCTACTAAAAATACAAAAATTAGCCTGGTGTGGTGGCACATGCCTGTAATCCCAGCTACTTGGGAAGCTGAGGCATGAGAATGGCTTGAACCTGGGGGAAGAGGTTGCAGTGAGCCAAGATCACACCACTGTACTCCAGCCTGGGTGACAGAGAGAGATTCTTATCTCAAAAACAAAAGCAAAAGATAAAAAAGATTTGTGTATGGGAATATTCTTTCCATGCATTTTTATGCCCTTGCTAAAATACAGGTTGCATAACATCCTTAATAAGAAAATTCTGAAGCCTGTGTAAACTTGCGGGAGGGGTGTAGTCATGCATAATCTCACATTGAAATCTGCCAAGGGAGTGAATACTACAGAATTTACAACTTGAGTTTTCATTCTACCCCACAGCTCGGAGCTGGAAACATATGTGCTTATGAATCTTTGTCAAGTTAATCGCTTTTCCCTTTTGCACCAAAAATTTAAAACAGCCTTCTTAACAAGTGTCACTAGCGTAATCTGTTTACTAATCATATGATAAATCACAAGCGAAGTAAGTTACTGTTGTTCTGTAAGTTCCTGCTGCCCTGTCAATTGCTGTCATTGTTTCCAGAGTTGTGCTCTCCTGAAGCCTTTTGGGGCTGGCTGGCTTCCATACTCAGAATCAATCACGCTGAGACAATGAAAAAACAAAAATAAACAGGAAAGTACGTGGAGTCAGCTATTTGATCTCTTTCTGAAATGCCTTATTCTCCGCCTGAAACCATGATTTACCTTCCCAATGTTAAGAAAAATCTTTCCTGCATTCTGCAGCTTCTTAAAAGTTGTCTTTGACCTTCCAGTGGTCTTCTCTCACTTCCACCCTCTTTCATCTCTTGGCAGCATTTGCAAAGATGACTCAGACCCTCTTTACTGAAAGATAACTTATAAAACAACTCACACCTCACGAGCCTCCATAGAAAAGCTTCATTTCCCACCTCAAACCCAAAGCTTCCCTCCTTTAACCGTATCCTAATTCATAATAATAAAAGCATATATTGAACAATTAATTATTGTGGTAAGTGCTTTATATATATTAACTCTTTTCACCAGCACAATAACACTGTGAAATACAATCTACTGTTATACCCATTTTTATAAATAAGAAAATAGAATTGCAAGAGTTTATATAATTTGCTAAAGGAAAAACACTGGTCAGTGGCACACCATGTAGGTAAACGGTACCACCATCCATGCAGTCAGTTGTCCACACCAGAAACCTAACAGTTGGGATTAATTGCTTTGTTTCCCTTTCTCTCCACATTCTTACCATGTTAGGCCAAGCCACCACCATGTCTCACCCAGACCACTGCACCACCCTTTCAACTATTTCCATTAATGTTCCTTTATGGACTATTTTTCATATAAATGATATATGAATTTGATAAATCCATAATCATAATGAGAGATCTTTAAAAACTTCTTTCAAAAACTGACTTTGTGCAAACAAAATAGTCGTATGACTAAAAAAGATTTATTTTAATTGTGCAAATAACACAATTAGTGATCCAAATCTTATGGAAGTATGTGGAACACTATACACACACACACACACACACACAAAGAAAGAAAGAATACACAACAACACTAAGAACATCGAAAAAAATTGGCTGGGCATGGTGGCTCACACCTATAATCCCAGCACTTTGGGAAGCTGAGCCGGGCGGTGGCAGGCAGATCGCTTGAGGTCAAGAATTTGGGACCAGCCTGGCCAACATGGTGAAAACCCATCTCTACTAAAAATATAAAAATTATCCAGGCGTAGTGGCACATGCTTGTAGTCCCAGCTACTCAGGAGACTCAGGCAGGAGAAGTGCTTGAACCCAGGAGGCGGGGGTTGCAGTAAGCCAAGATTGCACCACTGCATTCCAGCCTGGGTGACAGAGCAAGACTCCATCTCCAAAAAAAAAAATTTTCAAAAATTGACAATGTCTTATGTCCCAAAGTGAGTCTCAGCAAACACCACAGTCATTATTATATAGACCACATTCACTGATTACAATATAATAAAATTACAAATCAGGAACAAAAGGATAGTTAACCCCTCTGTTCGTTAACTCTTCTTTACTGTTCCTTTCCCTGTATAAAAAGGAACTAGCCTTGTGATCCCCCCACCTCAGCCTCCCAAAATGCTAGGATTATAGGCCTGAGCCACCACACCTGGCCCTCTCAGAGAAATATATATCCCCAAAAAGCAAGTTCTGGTTTTGAGCCTCTTCCTCATTTTGCTAACTTAATTGCACTTTGTTCACCAATCTAACTTTTTTCCTTTCTTTCACCAATTCTGTATAATTCCTTGGTGTTTGGAGCATCTGTGGCTCTGTTAGGAGTCTCCACTTGTCCTACCATCAGCCCTGAAAACAATGCTTTCCTCCCTCATGTCTGCCTCATAAGCTTGATGCAGGCAGATAGACTCTAAAATATCCGTCTCTTACCTTGAATTTTCTCTTGACCTTTCCCATGTTTATGACTATGTACAGGACATTTCCACTTTACATTTTCAGAATGCCAAATTTTACATGGATAAAACTAAATTTACCATCTGTCTCCCCAGTCTCTAGAACATGTTCCTAATGCTGCACTTGATTCCATCACTTTCCCACCAACACCCATCCTGGAAATCTCAGATACCCTCCGGGTACTGACTGCATCTCTGTCTGTAATAGCTTTTGTTCCAAGCCCCAGAGCTTGACAGGTATGCAACAAAGATTTTTTGAATGACTGTTAGACTCCTCCCTTCCTC